TCCGGGGCGTCGGCCTCCGGGGGCTGACGGGTGCAGCCTGCGCCCGGGCCCCGTGGCAGGCGCGGTCCTGGCGGCCACAGCCGCTGAGGTGGGGAAATGTGCCGGACCCTGCCCTGCCCCGTCCCCCCTCGGACCCCCCCAAGGCGCCGCCAGTCCCTGAGCCCTTCGCCTGGCCTCAGCTAACGTGTAGAACCGCCACCCCAGCGCCATGGTCCCGTGGGGACCCTGGGCCCGCGGCCGCGCCCGGGCAGATGGGACCCGCCGGCCGGGCCCTTCGCGTGCGCGTGGCCCCGACGTGCGGCAGAGACCGCCGGCCGTGCCCGCCCCGTCCACCAGCCCGGCGGACGAGCGCCCCCTCAGGACTCGGTGCCCCGGGAGAGGGTGGCTGGGACGAAACCTGCACCCGCTCACTTCTCAGCCCCTGCAGTCCCGTCCCCTCAGGCCGGGCCCAGAGCACCTGGGCAAAGCTCACTGCCCACTGCCCCTGCAGCAAGGGGCCCCACCCCAGGCCAGGCCAGTAGGCAGCCGCCAGTGCCGCAGCAAGTGGGGGGGGGGGTGCAGCTCAGGCCCAGGCCGGGCTCTGCCCTCCCGCCTGGGCCCAGCGAGGAGGCCGGCCCAGCTGGGCATCCCCGCCTGCCTCAAGTGCCCTGGGGACTTGCCAAGATGTGTCCTGGGCTGTGTGTGGGGGGGGGTGCAGGGGCCTTTTTCAAGTCCCCCCAAAGCTGCCCTGCATGCTAGGGGTGCCCCCCACCCCAGGGTCCAGGTGGCGGGGGAGTGGCCGAGACAGGGGAGGTGCCTGCTTCTCAGCCCCTTCTGCTCCCTGCGCCCGGGGACGCAGAGGTGATGGCTGGCACTGAGGCAGCCACCTGAGGCCGTGAGGGAGAGGCCATGCGTGGAGGACACAGGCGGTGAGGTAAAAGGTCTTGGCCTTTCGCTGCGGACGGACGCGCAGCACTGGCCTGTGGGCCTCTGGACGGTAACTCGGCCTTGGCTAGAGCAGAGCGCCCCGGCAGGGCGCCCGTCGCTGGCCGGAGAAGCAGGTTGCAGTGAAGTCACAGAGCGCCGGCCTTGCAGTGCGGTCCGGCCGGAGGGGCCTTCACCCGGCCCTCGCCCCTGGCAGCTCAGGGCCCTGCCTCGGGACGCCTCCCCGCCCTGGGCACGAGCCTGGGCGCGGCTGTGCAGGGTCCCTGCACCTCTGCCGTCCCGTGGGGGACCCTTGGTGACCCCCCGGGCGCCTGCGCTTCCCTGGTTTAACTGTTTCGGTGACGTCTTCCGGCGCTTTCCCGAAGAGGAGGCAGCCTGGCCGCCACTGTCCGGCCAGGCTCAGGCCAGGAGACACAGGCAGGGCTGTCCAGGCCCTGCCACCCCGAGGGGGACACCCCACTGCACAGCGGCCTGCCCCCCTTCCGGGTGCCGAGGCCCCGCCCCGTCTCCCGCCCCACACACTGCTCTGGGTTGCCACTGCCCCTGGGAGCCAGCCACGTGGGCTTCTTGACCGCTCGCTTGGCATTTCGTGACAAGGGGCAGCTGCCCTCGCAGCACGCACTGGGGGGGCCCTGGGGGAACGTGGCTGGGAGCCCCAGCGCTGGGAGCGGGCCACGTGCGGGGCTTTCGGAACACGACCCCGCCGCGCTGGGCGACGGCGGCCCCCCGAGGCAGACACACGAGGCGGCAGGACTACACGACCCCGTTTATGCGGGCGTCCCACGTCGCAGAGTCCACGCAACCGAGGCAGGGGCCGCGCCCGGGGCGCTGCCCCCGTGGCTGCTGGTGTGGGTGGGGCCGGGGGCCGCGCGGACCCTGCCGCCGACCCCAGACCTGGGTGTCTGGGAGGCCCCTGGCCGGGGGCGTCCCCAGCGCCCTGCCCCTCCGGAACCCGGTCGCTCTGGACGTGCGGCCCCGGCGCTCCGCCCCGCAGCCGAGGTCCTGGGGTCACCCACGCGCTGCACCAGGAGTGACCTGCCGGACACGGAGCCCGAGGCGGCGGCACTGTCTGAGGCTGCAGACGCCGGCAGTGGGCAGGGCGGCTCTGAGCTGCCGGGTCCTCGGCCGCCGCCCAGCTCCGTCAGC